AGCCATTTTTATGCTAATGAAGGGGGGGAGATTTAAATCCCCGCTTCATTAGCAATTGCAATATGTCTAATTTGCATCCCTTTTACGAAAAAGGGATGCAATCTAGATGTAGCCCTGGAGGCTGGAAAGATGGGGGGAGCTGAGCTCTGGCAGGGTTAGAGCTGGGGGACAGGACATCAGGGAGTGGAGCAGAGGAGGAACAGGACTAGGGATGATTCTGGGGGAGGCAAGCTGGGAAGGGAAAAGACCAGGTGTGTAGGGGGGGGCGTTCATTGTGTGGCTCAGTGTCAGTGAGTTAGCTGCAAACAATTGTGCTAGAGCTTCCTGGGGAGCAGGCTGGGTACCCCCAGGGGAGAGCAGCTTTGCCGAGCTGCCCCACACTGCACCTGCCCCTCACCCCTCTTCTGCCCTGCCTGCCGGCAACTCCCTGCAATCTCTCAAGTCTCGTTTTCACTTTGCCTCTCTCTGCTCTGAAATTAAAGCCAAAGATCCCCTTTGGACTTTGTCCTCTTTTCCCTTCCCCAGCAGAGATCAGCAGCAGAGGAGGGCTGGGGGAGGGAGGTACACATGCGGCCTGGCTGGGGAGGGGTGAAAGCAAAAGGAAAATAAGAGAAGATGGTGTTTACGCCTGCCCTTGATTATCAGTATGCCTGTGTCAAGGAAGTGGGTTTTGTCCACGAAAGCCCAGGATGCTATACAGGCAGTCCCCGGGTTACGTACAAGATAGGGACTGTAGGTTTGTTCTTAAGTTGAATTTGTATGTAAGTCGGAACTGGTACATATTGTAGGGGAAACTCTAGCCAAACATTTCTCCAGAGCTCAGTTTTATTCTCCCACACCTCACTTCCCTCAGTCCTTTATTCTAAAGCTGAGGTGTCTGCTGAGAAAAGCCGCTCCGCGTCTCCCTGGTCTGCTGGAGGGGAGCGCTAGCTTCGCGTCTCCCTGTTCTGCTGGGGGGAAGCAGCTAGTGCGGGGTTGCCTCACCCCGTTTGTAAGTAGGGATCCGATGTAAGGCGGATCCATGTAACCCGGGGACTGCCTGTATATGTATTTTTGTTAGTCTGTAAGGAGATTGCTCGTGGGGTTTTTGTTGTTGTTTTGTTTTGTTTTGTTTTAAGGAAACTGACACTAGAACAAAAGTGGGGTGGGGGGCAAATGGCTCTGGAGTAGAAAAAGCAGCAATCAGGGCTGCAGAATGCAAAGGAGGCTGTGATGTCTTAGCTGGGGAGGAAGATGAACGTGCTCTTGACAAGGCGGGAGTAGCTGAAAACTTTGATTGGGGAAAAGAGACTTTTTTTCCCCTCGTGCATCCAGGGCTGTGTCTCCAGCTGGTGGCATTTTGAATGAGGGTGAGTCCTAAACCATGCAGAGTTGAGTGGGATTGAGTGAGAGCGAGTCCCTTCAAGAATGCAGCCCGTTCTTCCTTGCCCCAGGAAAGACCTTTAAAAACGACCTCAAAGGTCTCAAAACGAAAGCCACAGTTCGAATGAGGCATGTGGCTGGTGTCTGGCTCCTGCCCCACTGTTGAAACGGTGTGCTGGCCAGTACAATCCCATTAAGCCATCTGTAGAAAGCAGGTGTGTAAATAAGGGCAGGGAAAAAAAAAGCCTGGGGCCTCAGTAGAATTCCTTTGTCTATCAAGCTGTACATCCCCCACGCACCTCTTTGCTTTTCAAGCTTAGAAAGAAATACAAAGGCCATGTGGGAGGTGACAGAGGGGTGCCAGGCCAGGACTGAGTGAGGACTGGACTTAGCCATTGGCATCCGCTATTTCTTTTGTATCATTCAAGTGGATTTGGGATCATCCTTCTGAGCCAGCCTGTAGATCCCTCCCCTGTGGCCCCTTGCCGACACCCAGACGTATCTCACTGCTAAGTCCCTATCCTAGTGGGGAAGTGGAAGGCTGCAGTGTCATTTCCCACCCATGCAGCCAGTGGCCTCTGCTTGCCCCTGCCATGCTGGAGCCTCCACATTCACTTGTGGACAAAGAATTTGCGGAATTCGACAGAATTTTAAAATATTGCGCACAGAATTTGTAACTTTCTTTTGGTGCTGAATGTCCTCAGGAATATAGCATGCGGGGCAGTTGTGGGGGGTCCAGGACTGGGGCGCTGGGCTACGGGGAGGTCTGTGCATGGGAGACGGCTGGGCACACCAATCTACGGTGGGGACCTCTGGGGCATGAGGGGCCACTGGGCATGGAGTTGCCGGGCACTGGGCAGGGAGGCAGTGTGGCAGGCACACTAGCAATGCAGGACTGGGATCGGGACTGCAGGGGTTGGGGGTGAAGGTGGCACTGTGCAGAGGTTGGGATGAAGGTGTCAAAATGCAGGGGTGAGAGATGTGGGGGCACAGTGTGGGAGTCAGGGGGCAGGAGAGGTGGGAGTTAATGGCAAAAGCGGCACAGGAGGCGGGTGCAGAGATTGGGGAACCCGTGGGGGCTAAGGGAAATGGAGGCCACAATGCTAAGAGGAATCGGGGGGGGGGGGGGAATGTCAAAATATAAGTTCACCCAGGGCATCATTTTCCCTAAGGCTGACCCTGGGTGCTGGATTGCAAATCCCTTCAGTATTGAATGCAGGGATAATGAAAGCAAAAGGCACCAGAGCAGCACTTAGTCTGCCCTGACTGATGGGTGTCACGGAGTATGGGGGGGCACTGAGCCCTGCACCCCCATCCACAGCCAGACGTGCCCCTCAGGCAGCAGGGTTGTTGGTTCACAGGGACACAGCGGACCACAGACGTGTTAGCACAGGAACCAGGAGCCACCATCACCATCCCACTTGGGGAGAGGGGGCCCCAGAGACAGGGCCCTGGGCCCTCTCCCTGCATCCTCCTCCAGCCCAGAGTAATTCACACACCCAGCAACGGGTCCCAGCCCTGCAGGCAGCCCCGCCCCCTCCTTTGTTCTGATTCCCAGGGCAAGGTGTCACCTGGTTGCTCCCCCCCACCTAAGTTCAGGCTACAAGAGAGCCTGAGCCATTGTTGTGTACGTGTGAAGATGGGGCAGCCTCCCCCTCACTGAGAGACACACCCAACATTCTCATCCCCAGCCAAGTTCCAGTGCAGTGCTCAGAGAAACTGAGGCACACTCA